GTGGTGCATTCAACACAACACATGACACACAAAAATCGATTTTTATCTGTGTTTGTTTAATATTTACTTTTAAATTAACGAATTGAGTAATGTAAAGTTCTAAAATTTGAATTATAATCTACAATTTTGAATGTGAGTCAACAAACAAGATGACATGACCTTTCACCTTTGACCTGTATAGGAAGGATTAATGAAAATAATGGTTTACTTTACATTTTTCAGGGATCTACGAGACAACATTTCATGAAAGAAGTGTTTTGGTTTATGTTCTTTCAGGAATCTGATTGATAAGATATCATTTGATAAAAGGATTGGTTAGTTTCACATTCCTATTGGAATCTATTAGAAAACATTTGAAATGTGGCATAGATTGATTCTTTTTGAGAACTACTAGATAACTTATTGGTTGGTTTCATGGTTTTTCAAGTTCATAATAGATAACTTTACATTCGATATGTGGTAAGGTTTGCTTTATTTTCATTCAGGGATCTACTAATTAATGTTTTATGAATAAAGGGACTTGTTTTTTGTTCTTTTGTGGAATTACATTGCTCAAAGCAGTTAAGGGTCAATCAGAGTTTTCATATTCTAGATGTAACAAGGCACAAATGTTGCTATTAAATGAATTTAATGGCATCCTTCAGTTCATTTTTATCAAAAACAAGTGTCAGATGACCTGATATAAGCATCACTTATTGGAGTTTTATGTCCACACATTTTCATTCGGTACTACTAACTCTGCAACTCCATTAACCCTATCATCACGGGTATCCTTTACTGTGCGTGACAAACACCTTGCACATACATCCTAACACTATACTAAACTACAAACAACTTGCACATACATCCTACTACAGCATACTAAACTACAAACAATTTGCATATACATCCTGCCATAGCATACTAACATACAAACACTATGCACATACATCCTGCCATAGCATACTAAACTACAAACAATTTGCACATACATCCTATCACAGCATACTAAACTACAAATAATTTGCACATACATCCTACCACAGCATACTAAACTACAAACAATCTGCACATATATGTTAGCAGTGTTACTATATAGTTGATGTTTTCAAGTTTGGCTTTGTAGAAGTTTGGTATTTTGTACCTTCCACATAAACACTTACTTTATTTCTTCTTATTTGTGTAGTAAAAAGAAAGTGCAAGGATAAATGAGAAAGCTTACTTGTGAAAATAGGATGTACCTTTGGTTGCTAAGCAACTGAGTAGAGCCAGAAGATTGTGTGATGTATTGTCTTCCAGTTTACACATATAGTCTGATGTATATATGTGTGAAAGAAAAATGATAGATCACGAATATGGAACTATTTCAGATTACAGTAAATCTGTATGTAGAGCATGTACGTGGGATCTGGAGCATCGATCTTACTGACTGGTAGTCATACAGTGTACAACTGATCATTAAGGAAGTAGTTCCAAGGGTAATATAGGATACAGAACAATTTTTATAGAATGAAAGTAGACAACTTACTTGTGCAGTCAAAGTTTTTTCCATATTTAAAACTGGCAAATGAAGTCCCCCTCCAGTGGGGGGACTGCCGTTCAGTCCGACTTTCCTTCTCCACAATTGGCTAAATAAAGACGTCAAATTAAAACTTACTTTATTCTTGATTTTAATAACTAAGAGTATAAGCAATTACATCTTGATGCAAAACAGTAATAAAAGCAAAGTACTATTAAACAGGCAACTCAGTTCACCAGTCTGAGTCTTTACAGTACTTTGATAAAAAATTTTAAGCACTACCATATTGTAATACTTTATTAGCATCAAATAATAATTGTATGTGAACAACAATGGGTAAAACCCCATTCCCATAAAAAAAAAGCATCAAAGTCTCTGAGTACTTACTGCCTTCCATCTTTTTTTCTGGTGGCCTTCCAGGGCAACTAGTGGTCTCTGCCAGTCTTTTTGTGGGAACCCGAATGAGGGTTGAGTCTTACTAAAGGTAAAGTCTGTGCTTCTTTCTGCTTCTCACTGTTAGAAAATACAATAAGTATGACATTTTAATTCTCACTTAACACAGATATACCAATAATAATTCAATGTCTAACACACAATACAGTGTTTTGTGATTCTTTATCATGGTAGTAATTTAAATCTGTACACAGTGAACTTACTACAAAATGGACTAATTCTTTAAAAAACAAAAAAACTCTTTCTTTTATCTTCAGTACAACAAAACTTGAACATGATAATATATATATTAGTTCTTTATCACAACCTATTTAGTATTATGCATTTAATTACACATATAACTGTTATACTGAACCAGACTTTCTTGTGTCATTTCACAACGTATGTTGTATTGTGGAGTTAATTACACATATAACTGTTAAACTGAACCAGACTTTCTTGTGTCATTTCACAACGTATGTTGTATTGTGGAGGGTAGAGAAAATAACAGATAAACTATAAAGTTTTAATGACAAAAAACGTTTGAAATGCATTTAGAAAGTTTTAGGGATTACACAAAGGAGATTTTAGAGATGAAGAAAAGTATTTTTAATTTTTACATGAAAACTGCTTTGCACATGGACTATTTAAAACAAATACTTGATATGTTCAAGAACAAATCTTTATTTTATTTTATTAAAAATACTTCACTAAAAAATATGCTTTTTTTGGGTGTGAAAGACTTATAATATTATCTGAAAGACTAATCCAAGTTTTGTGAAGATTACACACTGTATTGAAAGTTAGAAGTATTAAATCTATAAAGACTTCAAACAAGTACAAAGAGGTCACATGGTCGGTCAAATTGATCAAGCCCCTGTTGAAAGACTCAATGATCAATAAATATTTGTTAATACGGTATGAACACTACCTAAGTTTTGCATCAGTATGATTAGTTTAAAGTGAGTGAGCTACTGGGGAAACATAGTGTTACGACAGTGGTAGTCACGTGACACTGGTAACACGTCATGGGTTTCTAGAAGGATCATGACTGTTCCCAGTAACTCTAGTCTTTTCTACGCACCCTCTATTTTAGTATATAAGCCAGCAAATAAAGTGACAGCATAGATAATTGCAGACAGGCAG